TGGACAGACGGACAGACAGATCGACTCAGCTCGGCGAGCTAGGAAGATCCATATATACTTTCCTATATAGGAAACCAATATTTCGAGGTGTTACATAAATTCTAGCCCAATCAAACTTATAATACCCCCAACACATAGTGTTGTAGGGTATAAGCATACACCAATGTACCCATATCCCATTTTTCTGTCCAAAACAATTTCAGCGTCTCCATATCTAAACCCTAGAGGCCAACAGTGACCTCTATATCAAATTTTAGAATTTAACTATATTCCTTCACCACCTTCATACCAAATTTAGTAACATTTAGTACGCATATCCGAAACAAACTCTACATCCTAGACACCCAAAGTGTTTCAAAATTAGTACAATTTAGTACTTTTTGGACAATTATAGTACGCATTTGTAAAACCACCACCACCAGATCTCAAAACCAGATACCAACACAGACTTCAATATCAAATCTCGGAATTACAACTCTATCCATACACCCAATATAAAATTTAGTAGCAGTGACATTAATATGCAAATTCAGGATTTTTGCACTGTAGTACCATTTAGTACCTTTCGTACAATTAGAATACACACTTCCAAAACCAACTCCATATCTCATTTCCAGATACCAAAAATTTTTGCAATATACAGTTTTAAGGTTTTTGAGGTCTATCCCTTTACCCGGGACCAAATTAAATACAGATGAGAAAACTGCAACCAGATGAAAAAACTGCAACCAACTTCAGACTGCTGTCATTTCTAAGCCACTCGTCCGACAGCTGCTAAAATTATTCCAGTGACAGCTTATTATATTGCTTACATGCCTACAAAAGCTCTGTGGTAAGAATTTTCCAGAAAAAAATTTATTCGTGATGGAATTCAAGCGTGATAGTGAGATTTCTTTATATTTGGCTGGAAAACCACAAGTAACTATCGTTACAGCACTCCAGCATTTAAATGTAAATAAATCTTTTGTGTCTCGTACCATCGCTCATTACCGTGATACTGGTACCGTAGTCCGACGTCAAGGAAGTGGACGGAAGAAAACAGCAACATCAGCAGAAATGCTTCGAAAAGTAAAGAAGCGACTTGATCGAAACCCGAGTCGCAGTGGCCGAAAAATGGCTCGTGAGCTGAACATATCACAATATTCCATTTGGCAAATATTGAAAAACTACCTCGGGATAAAGCTTGAGGAAATTCCAAAAAGTGCAAGAACTTACACCGCAACAGAAAGAAAATAGACTCAAAAGAGCTAAAGAAGAGTTGGCCGAAAGTGGTGAACTACCGAATTTGGGTTTCTCCGATGAGAAAACATTCGTTGTCCAGCAGTTTTTAGACAAACAAAATGAACGTGATTACTTCCCAAAGAGTTCAGCTGAAAATGTGCACCTTCGGTTGGCCACCAGAACTCAAGCGCCGGCCATGGTGATGATGTGGGCCGCCTAACAGCCGATGGTCGCTCTCCGCTCTTATTAATCGACCGTGGCATCAGTATAAATGCCGAATATTATCGCGAAAATTTTCTGGAGGGTTTATGAAAGCCTTGGGCACGCAAACATTTTGGCCGCAGGCCTTGGATATTCAGACCTTGGTTTCAGCACAATAGCAATCAACACGCACCACCCAAGAATGGTTACAAAATGAGGTTTCTCGCTTCATTTCCTGCGCATAATGGTCACCAAAATCTCCGCATACCAATCAGTTAGACTATTGTGTCTGGAGTATTTTGGAAGGCAAAGTTGACACTAAAAAATAACAAAGTATCGATCACCTCAAGCAAGCGTTTCGGCGGGAATGGGCCAAAATACCGCAGAGCAACATTCGGGCAGCGTGTGATGGTTTCATTGTCCGTTTGAAGGCCATAATTCGTGTTAAAGGTGACCAACTCCAATAAATCTAAACTTATTCTAAAATTTGATGCTATTTCCGACATTTTTTGCTTTCAATCAAAAAAATTAAAAAAAAAAAAATGTAAAAGTTATGGCGTTTGACTTTGTTGCAGTTTTTTTTATCTCACCCTTTCGTCCAATTTTAATACTCATTTGCAAAACTGTTCCATATCTCAATCCTAGACACCAATAGTTATCGCAATATACAATTTTAAGGACTTCAGCGCTATTCCTTCACCCAACAGCAAATCTAGTACTATTTTGTACTATTCGTATAATTACAGTATAGATTTCCAAAACCACCTCCATATCTCCATTCCTAATACCCAAAGAGATCTCAATAACAAATTTGAGGATTTCACCCATATTCCTTCACTCAATACAAAATCTAGTACTATTTAGTACTTTTCGGACAAACCGCTTCCTAAACCGCCTTCAATCTTAACCACAGACAACAAGAATGACATCTATATAAAATTTCAGCATTTCAGGACTATTCCTTCACCCAATACCAAATGTAGCACTATTTAGTACTTTTCGTTCAATTATGGTACACATTTTTAAAACCACCTCAATTCCAAATACCAATAGAGACCTCAATTTCAAATTTGAGGATTTCAGCCATATACCAAATTTGGTACTATTTAGTTTTTTTTCATACAAATATAGCACACACTTCCTAAACCACCTCCATATCTTAACCATAGACACAAACAGTGCCATCTATATACAATTTCAGGATTTAAGCCCTACTCCCTCAACCAATACCAAATATTGTACTATTTAGTACTTTTCGTACAAATATAGGACGCATTTTCAAACCACAGTCAATTCTCAATCAGTGATCTAAATATAAAATTTTAGAATTGTGTCTCTATACCTTCACCCAATACCAAAATGGTACCATTTAGTATTTTCGTACAATTATACACTTTTCCACCTCCATATGACTAGGTTACACATGAACAGCGACCCTAATACCAAATTTTAGATTTCAATCACTATCTGTTTACCCAATACCAAATTGTATCAAATATAGTACGATTTAGTACTTGTCGTCGATTTGTAGTACAAATTTTCAAAACCACCACCATACGTCAAACCATTTCCGAAATCACCCCCATATGTTCAGCCTGCACATGAACAGCGACCCTAACACCAAATTTTAGATTTCAAGCACTATCTGTTTACCAAATTGTACCAAATATAGCGCTATTTAGTACTTTTCGTGCACTTGTAGTTCACATTTCCAAAACTACTTCGATATGTCAAGCCTACACAGGAACCAAGACCCCAATACAAAATGTTAAACTGACCCAAGACCCCAATACAAAATGTTAAACTGTTCACCAAATATAGTACCATTCTGTACTTTTCGTGCAAATATAGTACACATATCTGGAAGCACCTCAATATGGCCAGGTTACACATGAACAGCGACTCTAACCTAAAATTTCAGATTTCAAGCACTTTCACCTTCTTTTCTTTTCACCAAATATCGAATTGTACCAAATGTAGTACTATTTAGTATTTTTCGTCCACCTGTAGCGCACATTTCCAAATCCCCTCTTTATAACAAAACTACCACCAAATGGGACCCTCAATGCAAAATTTCAAAATTCCAGCTTAATCCGTTCACTCTAACTCAACCTTGTCCAAATTTGTACCATTTAGTACAATTCGCACACACAGTACACATTTACCAACCCCCTTCACATATTAATCTTATTTTCCAACCTTGATTCTGATACCGAATTTCAAGTTATTTTGGCTCTATCCGTTCACATACCAAATGGTACGATTTCAGAAGTTTAGTACCATTTTACAACTTTTCGTTACCTTAAAGTTCGAATTTCCAAAAACCTTTCGGTACATCTATCCTACACTGCATGAGTGTTTCTCATTTCTAAATTCTAGCTCATTCCGTCTGTCTAATACAAAGTATTTTATTATACCCTCCACCTTGGAAAGGAGGGTATATTAACTTTCTCATTCCGTTTGTAATATCCTAAATATTCGTCTTAGACCCCATAAAGTATTTATATTCATAATCAGCATAAAATTCTAAGTCGATTTAACGATGTCCGTCTGTCTGTCCGTCTGTCTGTTGAAATCACGATACAGCCCACATTATTTGACGTAGAGTGCCAAAATTTAGCAGAGCAATTTGCATTGTGTCTAGGACGGTTGGTATTGAAAATGAGATATATCGGTCCACGTTCTGGTATAGCCCCCATATAAAGGTACCTCCCAATATTCGGTATTTTAGTTTTTTTTTTTGTCACATTTTTACACGGATTTGCCAAAAATTTGGTATTTGTGGATCATAATGGTTTCCAGCTCCGGTGGCTAAACATTGCATGTATGGGTCCATGATTTGGTATAGCCCCCATATAACGGTACCTCCCGATATTCGGTATTTTGATGGTTTTTGCCACATTTTTTCATTGATTTGTCTAAAAATAGGTATTTGTGTTTGTCATGATGGGTCCTAGTTCGTGTGGCGAAAAATTGTAATTATAGGTCCACGTTTTGGTGTAGCCCCCATATGACGATACCTCCCGATATTCGGCATTTTAATGGTTTTTGCCACATTTCTTCTAATGTTTCTTTTACCCTAAGGTGGAGGGTATTAAAAGTTTGGCCCGGCCGAACTTAATGTTCATTCAAAATGTCAAGATTCTAGGAGTTGATTCTTGGTCAATCAGTCAGTTATTTCACTATACTCACTATATACTGACGCAGGGATGTACATAGGAGGAGTGGACCTGGATATTCCAGACCTAATGTTGGTAAAAATGGTCGAACTATGCAAAAAAATCGATGAATACTACTCCCGCAGTAGACCCAAGTCTGATATAAAATATTACAAGGCGTAAGGTATCTACCATTCGAACTCCACTCGTCTTTACATTCGATCAAAAGATTTACACGGAACCTCTAGATCGCTATCTATGACAATAAATTTTATTTCTTTAATCAAATGTGGAAACGCAAAAAAAAAAAATAATAGAAAAAAAACCCACTGACAATTTGTTTTCCCAACTCTAATCAAGTTTTTGATTTTTGATAAGCTTTGGGCGATCCAGACAAAAATCGCCCATTTTACGGCTATCAATAAAAAGTAAATCATGAAATCCCAAAATCTTATCGATTCTTTACTGGACGATAGTTGTAAAATTAAAAAAAGTGGGCAATTTTGCACGGAGAGATCGATTCTCGAATTATTTGCCATTATGAAGTTAACGCTGGTGGTTGTGGGTCTTTTGGCCGCGGCAACATTGGTCAAAGCCGTTGAGGATGTAAAGGATGTGCCGGCCTTTGTAAGGACTTTGGAAAATTTATACCGAGGTCCTCCAGTCGATTCACACATCGAGAGCAGAGCTGTACAAACGGAATGGATTACCCAAAAATTGGATCATTTCGATGAGGCCGAGGAGCGTACCTGGCAAATGGTAAATGCGTATTTTTTTTTTTTTTTTTTTGAAATTTTGGGGGACTGTTTTGATATTTTGAATTTGTTATTTCCAGCGTTACATGTTCAACGATGAATATTTCGAGGAGGGTGGTCCCATGATCTTCTATTTGGGCGGTGAATGGGAAATCAAGGCTGGCAGTATTTCTTCGGGTATTCTTGTGGATATTGCCAAGGAGCACAAGGGTATGCTCTTCTATACCGAACATCGTTTCTATGGCCAGAGCAAACCAACTGCGTAAGTATGAAAGGGAGGAGAGAAAAAGAGAAGGAGAGAGTACATATAACGAGGAGAACTTTATTGGAACAAAACGGATAATTGATTTAAGTTATCCAAACAAAATTGATAACTTATTTATGTTATCCAAACTACGTGGATAACTTATTTATGTTATCAAAAAACATGTTATCCGAACAACGTGGATAACTTGCCTACATTATTCAAACAATTAGTTTACGTTATCCGAATAAGGCGGATAACGTGGAAAACAGATCTAAGTTCTCTCAACAACAACAAAAATATCTACATTATAACAATGTGGATAATTTATCTCCGTTATCCAAAAAAGGCGAATAAATTGTATACTACATCCGAACAACCGGGAGAACTTATCTATGTTACCCAAATAACTTATCTACGTTATCCAATCAAAGAGGATAACTTATTCCCGTTATCCAAGAAACGTGGATAATTTATGTACGTTATCCAAGCAACGTGGAATTTGTATCTATGTTATCCAGATAACGTGGATAATGTATCTACGTTATCCAGATAATTTGGATAATGTATCTATGTTATCCAGATAATATGGATAATGTATCTACGTTATCCAGATAGCGTGGATAATGTATCTACGTTATTCAAACAACGTGGATAATGTATCTACGTTATCCAGATAACGGATATAATGTATCTATGTTATCCATATAACGTGGATAATGTATCTATGTTCTCCAGATAACGTGAATAATATACCTACGTTATCCGGATAATGTGGATAATGTATCTACGCTATCCAGATAACGTGGATAATGTATCTACGTTATCCAAACAAAGTGGATAATGTATCTATGTTCTCCAGATAACGTGAATAATGTACCTATGTTATCCGGATAATGTGGATGATGTATCTACGTTATCCAGATAAAGTGGATAATGTATCTACGTTATCCAGACAACGTGGATAATGTATCTACGTTATCCAGATAACGTGGATAATGTATCTATGTTATCCAGATATGGTGGATAATGTATCTGTGTTATCCAGATAACGGATATAATGTATCTTTTTTATCCAGATAACGTGGATAATGTATCTTCGTTATCCAGATAACGTGGATAATGTATCTATGTTATTCAGATAACGTAGATAATGTATCTATGTTATCCAGATAACGTAGATAATGTATCTATGTTATCCAGATAAAGTGGATAATGTGTCTACGTTATCCAGACAACGTGGATAATGTATCTACGTTATCCAGATAACGTGGATAATGTATCTATGTTATCCAGATATGGTGGATAATGTATCTGTGTTATCCAGATAACGCATATAATGTATCTTTTTTATCCAGATAACGTGGATAATGTATCTTCGTTATCCAGATAACGTGGATAATGTATCTATGTTATTCAGATAACGTAGATAATGTATCTATGTTATCCAGATAACGTAGATAATGTATCTATGTTATCCAGATAACGTAAATAATCTATCTATGTTATCCAGATAACGTGGATAATGTATCTACGTTATTCAGATGACGTGGAAAATGTATCTATGTTATCCAGATAACGTGGATAATGTATCTATGTTATCCAAATAGCGCAGATAATGTATCTATGTTATCCAAATAGCGCAGATAATGTATCTATGTCATTCAAATAACATAGATAATGTATCTATGTTATCCAAATAGCGTATATAATTTATCTATTTTAGCCAATCAAAGTGGATAACTTACTTCCGTTGTCCAAACAACGTGGATAACTTTTCATTTTTATCCAAATCTCTTAAATTCTTAATTTCCATTATTTAAATATTCCCCCCTCGCTTCTCTCTTTACAGCAACATTTTGCCCGAGAACCTTAAATACCTACATGTCAAACAGGCCTTAGCCGATTTGGCCCATTTCATTGAACACAAACGTGAAACGGTTCCCGCTTTGGCCAATGCCAAGGTAATCATGGCTGGTGGTTCCTATTCGGCCACAATGGTGGTGTGGTTCAAGAAACTCTATCCCCACTTGTTGACTGGTGGTTGGGCTTCTTCGGCTCCAATTTTGGCCAAGGTCGACTTCTTCGAATACAAAGAAGTTGTGGGCAAGGCATTGAGGGAATTGGGTTCGGAACAGTGTTATCAACGTGTTGAAAATGGCGTAGCCGAACTGCAGGCCATGATCACCGGAAAACGTTCCGCGGAAGTTAAGGCCATGCTGAAATTGTGTAATTCATTCGATCATCACAATGATTTGGATTTGTGGTCATTATTCGGTTCCATTTCAAATATTTTCTCCGGCATTGTGCAATATCAATCGTAAGTTTGCTGCTAACAAATGTTTGGAGTGATAGATTTTAAAATCGTAAATTCGATATTTACAGTGAAGGAGATGTCCCCTATTATTGTGACTATCTCATGTCATTCGATGATGATTTGACTGCCATTTCCAATTTCTTCTTGTGGTCGGTGGGTGTTACTTCAGGTTGTGCTGATGTCAGTTACAAGAGTACCTTGGCCTATTATTTGGATAGCACATATGCTAATGGGGCTTGTAAGTTAAAGAAAAATCTATTAAAAAACAAAACACAACTCAAATTCTTCTTCTCTTCCCCCAGCCCGTCCCTGGTATTATCAAACCTGCAATGAATACGGCTGGTATCAATCCTCCGGTTCGCCCAACCAACCCTTCGGCAGCAAATTCCCCGTCACCCTATACACGACATTGTGTGCCGACATCTTTGGCCAGAAATACTCAAATGAACACATCCATGAGCTGGTCGCTCAAACCAATGAAGATTTTGGCGGTTTGAATCCCGAAGTTGAAAATGTCTACATGACTCACGGTGCCTTGGATCCGTGGAGTGCCATGGGTCATGGTGAGGAAGAGGGTGCCTCTGTTATTCCCAGAGCTTCTCATTGTGCCGATTTCGGTTCGATTAGCAGTGGTGATAGCGCTGAAATGCGTGCATCCAAGGAGAAGTTGCTCGAATTGGTTCGAGAATGGTTGAAATAGAAATTCTCAGAAATTTCTAAAAAGAATTCCAATTTTTTTTTTTTACAACAACAATAAAATTAAATTTTAACAAAAATGTTGTGAAATTTGCTCAATATAATATTGGCACTAGACTCTATTAACGTATCCACATTATCCAAATGTATCTATGTTATTCAGATAAAGTGGATAATGTATATCACTTGGATAACGTATCTGTTATCCGGATAAAGTGGATAATGTATCTATGTTATCCAAGTGGTGTGTATAACGGTATTCTAATGTGGATAAATTATCTATGGTATCCACATGACGTGGTTAATGAGTCTATGTTATACAAGTGGTGTAGATAAGGGTAATAAGACATAGATAATGTATCTATAGTATCCACATCACGCGGATAATGTATCTATGTTATCCAGATGTATCTATGGTATCCAGATAACGTGGATAATGCATCTATGTGACCCAGGTGTATCTATGGTAATCTAGATAACCTGGATAATGCATCTATTTTATCCAGATAACATGATTGATTTGCCTTTGTTATCAAAAAACGTAGATAATGTGTCTATGTTAGCTAGATAATTTGGATAATGTATCTATGTTACTCAGATGTATATATGCTATCCAGATAAAATGGATAATGTATCTATGTTACCACACAACTACTATCTATGTTATCCATAATAATGTATGTATGTTATCCAAATAACGTGGAAAATGTATCTATGTTATCCAGATACCCGTGGATGTATCTACGTTATCCAGATAATGTGGATAAGGTATCTACGTTATCCAGATAACATGGATAATGTATCTATGTTATCCAGATAACGTGGATAACGTATCTGTTATCCAGATAACGTGAATAATGCATCTATGTTATCCAGATATAAGATAAGCAGATAACGTGGATAATGTATCTATGTCATCTAGATAACATGGATAATGTATCTATGCAACTAGATAAGGTAGATAATGTATCTTTGTTATCCAGATAGATTGGATAATGCATCTACGTTATCCAGATAACGTGGATAATGTATCTACGTTATCCAGATAACATGGATAATGTATCTATGTTATCCAGATAACGTGGATAACGTATCTTTGTTATCCAGATAACGTGGATAATTTATCTATGTTATCCAGATATATCTATGTTATCTAGATAACGTAGACAATATAGCTTTGTTACCCAGATGTATCTATGTCATCTAGATAACGTGGATAATGTATCTATGCTACCAGATAAGGTAGATAATGTATCTATGTTATCCAGATAACGTGGATAACGTATCCTTGTTATCCAGATAACGTGGATAATGTATCTACGTTATCCAGATAACGTGGATAATGTATCTACGTTATCCAGATAACGTGGATAATGCATCTATGATATCCAGATAACGTGGATAATGCATCTATGTCACCTAGATAGGATGCAGAATGTATCTATGTTATCCAGATAACGTGGATAATGTATCTTTGTTATCCAGATAACGTGTATAATGTATCTACGTTATCCAGATAACGTGGATAATGTATCTACGTTATCCAGATAACGTGGATAATGTATCTACGTTATCCAGATAACGTGGACAATGTATCTACGTTATCCATATAACGTGGATAATGTATCTACGTTATCCAGATAACGTGGATAATGTATCTACGTTATCCAGATAACGTGGATAATGTATCTACGTTATCCAGATAACGTGGGTAATGTATCTACGTTATTCAGATAACGTGGATAATGTATCTACGTTATCCAGATAACGTAGATAATGTATCTATGATATCCAGATAACGTTGATAATGCATCTATGTCACCTAGATAAGATGCAGAATGTATCTATGTTATTCAGATAACGTGGATAATGTATCTTTGTTATCCAGATAACGTGGATAATGTATCTACGTTATCCAGATAACGTGGATAATGTATCTACGTTATCCAGATAACGTGGATAATGTATCTACGTTATCCAGATAACGTGGATAATGTATCTACGTTATCCAGATAACGTGGATAATGTATCTACGTTATCCAGATAACGTGGATAATGTATCTACGTTATCCAGATAACGTGGATAATGCATCTGTGATATCCAGATAACGTGGATAATGTATCTACGTTATCCAGATAACGTGGATAATGTATCTATGTTATCCAGATAACGTGGATAATGTATCTACGTTATCCAGATAACGTGGATAATGCATCTATGTAACCTAGATAAGATGCAGAATGTATCCAGATAACGTGGATAATGTATCTTTGTCATCCAGATAATGTGGATAATGTATCTACGTTATCCAGATAACGTGGATAATGTATCTACGTTATCCAGATAACGTGGATAATGTATCTACGTTATCCAGATAACGTGGATGATGTATCTACGTTATCCAGATAACGTGGATAATGTATCTACGTTATCCAGATAACATAGATAATGTATCTATGTTATCCAGACATATCTATGCCATCTAGACAACGTGGATAATGTATCTATGTTACCAGATAATGTGATTAGTTTGTCTTTGTCACATAAGGTGGATAATGTATCTTTGTTATCCAGATAAAGTGGATAATGTATCTACGTTATCCAGATAACATGGATAATGTATTTATGTTATCTAGATAACGTGGATAACGTACCTAAGTTATCCAGATTAAGTGAATAATGTATCTATCTTGTCTAGATAAAGTGGATAATGTATCTATGTTTTCCACATGAATCTATGTTATCCAGATACATATTTAAACCACTGATCATACCTTTGGACATTCTTATAGATTTCACCATTTGCAAAATATGTTGACGCAAACAAATTTTTCGCTTGAACATAAATAGCTCCCGCTAATTTTAGAATGACAGTATCGGGAAAAATCGTGCCAAAATAAATCATGCCGCTTATCTATCTCGGTCTTAGATTAAAAGAAAACAACCTCGCGCCAATGAGTCCCCTATAAATAAGTGCGAACGCAGTCTACTAAAGGACTTTGCAAAATGAAGGTAACCTTGTGGCTGATAGGAGTATTGGCTCTGGCAGGATTGGCCAGAGGATATTATTTGAAACAAGCGGAGGGTGTGACGGAAAATATTCCGATTTTCATTAAAACCCTAAGGGAATTACATAGAGGTCCACCCAAATTGGCTGTGCCCAGAGCCAATGTGAAAACCGAATGGATTACCCAAAAATTGGATCATTTCGACAACAAGGAAGAACGAACATGGCAAATGGTAAGAGGATGGGGTGGTATAGAGGATTTGATGAATGAATAAGAAACCTTTGTCTTGTCCCCCAGCGTTACATGGTGAACGATGAGTATTTCAAACCAGGTGGCCCCATGTTCATTTATGTTGGCGGTGAGTGGGACATTGATCCCAGCGGTATTAGTGGTGGTATTTTTGTGGACTTGGCCAAGGAACATAATGGCATACTTTTCTATACCGAACATCGTTATTATGGCGAAAGTAAACCAACAAAGTAGGCGTATGCAGTTATCCTACAACAAAATGATTCTAAAAATTTCCAAATCTTCTTTTCAGAGATTTGCAATTGGAAAACATGAAGTACTTGCATGTCAAACAGGCCCTGGCTGATCTGGCCCATTTCATTGAGTACAAACGTGAAACCGTATCGGAATTGTCCAATTCCAAAGTCATAATGGCAGGTGGTTCATATTCCGCCTCCATGGTTGTTTGGTTTAAGAAACTCTATCCTCATCTTTTGAATGGTGGTTGGGCTTCGAGCGCCCCCCTCTTGGCCAATTCACACCAAATTTTATTCACACTATTTGAATAATCAACACACATTGTCCGTGTATTTTGGATAATGTTAATAATAATTATCAGAACTATTTGGATAATATGGATATATCATTCATGTTATTTGGATAATGTAGATACATTATCCACACCATTTGGATAATGTAGTTACGTGGATAACGTAGATACATTATCCACACAATTTGGATAGTGTAGATACATTATCCACACTGTTTGGATAACGTAGATACATTATCCACACTATTTTGATAGAGTAGATACATTATCAACACCATTTAAATAACGTAGATACATTATCCACGTTATGTGGATAACGTAGATACACTATCCACACCATTTGGATAATGTAGATACATTTTCCACACCATTTGGATAACGTAGATATATTATCCACACTATTAGTATAGTGTAGATACATTATCCACACTATTTGGATAGAGTAGATACATTATCAACACCATTTGAATAACGTAGATACATTTTCCACGTTATGGGATAACGTAGATACATTATCAACACTATTTGGATAACGTAGATACATTATCCACACTATTTGAATAACGTAGATACATTATCCACGTTATGTGGATAACGTAGATACATTATCCACACTATTTGGATAACGTATATACATTATCCACACTAGTTAGATAATGTAGATACATTATCCACACAATTTAGATAATGTAGATACATTATCCACACTATGTAGATAACGTAGATACATTATCCACACAATTTAGATAATGTAGATACATTATCCACGTTATGGGGATAACGTAGATACATTATCCACACTATTTTGATAGTGTAGATGCATTATCAACACTATTTGGATAACGTAGATACATTATCCGCACTAGTTAGATAATGTAGATACATTATCCACATTAGTTAGATAATGTAGATACATTATCCACACTGTTTTATAATGTAGATAAATTATCCGCGTTGTTGGGATAATTTAGATAAATTATCCAAAATATTTGGATAATGTAGATACATTTTCTACACCATTTGGATAATGTAGATACATTATCCACACTATTTGGATAACGTAGATACATTACCCACGTTATGTGGATAACGTAGATACATTATCCACACTATTTGGATAACGCAGATACATTATCCACACTAGTTATATAATGTAGATACATTATACACACTTTTTGGATAACGTAGATACATTATTTACATTATTTGGGTAGTGTAGATAATATTTAGATAATGTAGATACATTATCCGTGTTATTTGTGTAATGTAGATAAATTATCCACGTTATGT